ATTTAAAATGTTACAAAAGACTATAAAGCAAACCTCAATGAAAAGGCATATACTTCTCTATGTATCTGTAAAGATCCATTATTATTTTTTTCTTGAGAGAGAGAATGCGTCTTGCTCTATAGTTCAGCCTGGCCTTGAACTGGGTAGATTGTAGCTGAGCTCGCTTCAAACTCACAGCAATCCTCCCGCCTCAGCCTCTGAATGCTGGGATTAGAAGTGCATGCCATAGGGGCTGGAGATTCAGCTCAGTGGCATAAGCGCCTGCCTTGCAAGCAGGCAGTCGTGAGTTCAATCCCCAGTACTGATAAAAAGGAAAAAACAAACAAAAAAAAAGAAGCGCATGCCACCACACTCAGCCATTAGTTTAGTATTAGTATTTTTCTGTGACACTGGGGTTTGAACCCAAGGCTTTGCACATGAGTTATATCCCTATCACTCCCTCATATTATTACTGATACCAATTCTATTTTTGTTTTTATGGTACTTGAGACTGAACTCACAGGCTTTCACATGACAAGCTCAATTGTCCATAATTTTTTTTTCACACTTTTTTTTTCCTTTTTTCTTTTTACTGGTACCAGGGATTGAACTCGCGACCACCTGCTTGCAAGGCAGGTGCTTATGCCACTGAGCTAAATCCCCAGCCCCGTTTTGTCCATAATTTAATATAAAAATTTGATGTGATCCAAATAAAAGTATCATTTTTTTTTGTCTTTCTCATTTTTATCGGTACCAGGAATCGAACTCATGACTGCCTGCTTGCAAGGCAGGCGCTTATGCCACTGAGCTAAATCCCCAGCCCCAAAAATATCGTATTTTTAAAAACACAGTTAGTTGGGCTGGGGATTTAGCTCAATGGCATAAGCGCCGGCCTTGCAAGTGCGCAGTTGTGAGTTCGATCCCCAGTACTGATTTAAAAAAAAAAACACAATTCAAATGGGACAAAAAGGGTACTGTAAAATGGGCATAGTGGTGTATGCCTGTGATACCAGCAGTTAGGAGGCTGAGGCAGGAGGATCACTTGGGAGGCAGAGGCCAACCTGGGCTACAGAGTGAGTTCAAGGGCAAATGAACTACATAGTGAGACCCTGTTTCAAAAACAAATTTTTTTTTATTCTGGGGATGCTTTCACATTGAGCTACATATCTAACCCTTTTCAATCTTATTTTGTATTTTGGGAGAGTCTCACTAAGTTACCCAGGTTGGGCTAGAACTTGTGGTCCTCCTCTCTTAAGCTCCTAGAGTTCTAGGATTATAGACATGGGGCAGTTGAAAGTAGTTTTTGTAAAAGACAGAAGCCAATGAATAGTCAAATTCTCTGGTACAAAATAAGAGTCCAGAAAAACAGTCAAATATGTGGGGGAAATTCAGTGTATGATTAAAAGTGACATTTCAAATCTGTGGGAGAAACATGAATTATTCAGTATATGGTGTGGAGACAACCTGGTAACCATCTGGGGGAGATGGGAAGTTGGATCCCTACCTCACTCCTCTATACAGCTCAGATGGAACGGGAATGAAATGTTAACACTAAGATCAGACAAGTACTGAAAAGAAAAGATTGCATAAAAACCCAGTGTCAGCATGGAAAAGTAAAAAACAGTAAAAAAAAAAAATGGGGGTAAAATGACGACAACACAGCAAGAACCAATAACTACGGAGAAAAGTAGACCCTTGTCAAAAAAAAGTTCACAGAATAAGGCAAACAGCTCAAAAAAAAAAAAAAAAAAAAAAAGAGGCACATTTAAAACACAGATGCTTCCATTCTTACAAGCTGAGGTAAAAAAAAAAAAAAACAGATGCCATCTCTCACCTGTTAAGTTTGGTAATATTCTGAGTTGCAAGGGCATGAGGAAGCTCTCACTCCTGATGATGGGAGAAGCACCTGAAGGACATTTTAGCATCAGCTCCCAAGATTACAAATATACCTCACTTTGCTACTGCAATTCCTGTACTGCAGAACTGATACGTGCATGCACATAAGGGTATTCTTTGCAGGATCATTGTACTAACACCACCTTGTAACAAGACCATGCACATTGCTGGGCACTGGTTTGAATGGAATACCACACAACTGTCTTATACAAACAAAAAAGGCACATGGACTCCATAATGTAATGGAAAAACCTCCGGATACAAGTACAATGCAGAACAGTGTGTATTCAGTGCTGCCATTTGTGTACAAGGGAAAACGGTATCACATTAGTTTCCTTTGGGTAAAAGGAAAATTTTTTGGCTGCTTTTTGGCTTTTTTTTTTCTGTCCTTTTTTAGACTTAAAAATTTTTTTTGTTAGGGTTTTTGCTTTTGCACCAGGTAGGCAAGCACTTTTCCACTGAGCCACATCCGTACCCTAGCCTTATAACTCCAATGTAAAATGCAAATTGTTTATACCTATGGTGCACCCATTCTAGAGCTACAGCTGGATTTGTGCCCATGCAAGGATGTACGTGGGAACATTCTGGCTACAACATTACTGAGGATCCCTGAAGACAGAACAGTCTGACTGTCCACCCATTGGCAGGGTCTGGCTCAGGGAGGCCCATCCACCCAAGGAAGTGGGTTTGTTTGTGCTGAAAGAGAAAGAGCTCCAGAAATTTCTGTTAGATAAGACCCAGTACTGCAGGTGGGGAGAAAGGTAATAAGATGCTGGCAGGGTGTAGGTGGGCTGCTAGTTGTTTAGTAAATACCCCCAGGGCTTTGAAACTATCCAGGAAGAAACACAAATCTAGGACCAGCCTCTGCTTCCAGGGAGGAAAACTAAGACTGAGGAATGGTGGGAGACATTTATTCCTTGTATGAATGACCTTGTGTACTGAATCACTTTCTGCCTAAAAGCAAATACAAACCATTATCCAAAGATTTAAAAATGCAAGAGGAGCTGAGCATGGTGGTGTACACCTGTAATTACAACATTAGGAAGGCTGAGGCAAAATCACAGTGAGTTGCTGAGTGTGGCAGCACACCTTGTAATCCCAGGAGCACTCGGGGAGCTAAGGCAGGCAGATTGTTGCGAGTTCGAGACAACCCTGGGCTATAAAGTGAGCCCACAGCCAGCCTGAACTGCATAGTGAGAACCTGTCTCAAAAAAGACAAAAGAAACAAAAAAAATCACAGAGTTGAGGACAATTTGGGATATATAGTGAGTTTAACACCAGTCTGAACTATGAGACCTGTCTCAACCAAACCAAAACCCCACCCCCCAAAAAGGGGGTGGTAGCACCAAGCCCTTGGCAATGACTAGCACTCAAGGGGAAGCTATTAGGCCTTGGATATTTGTGGGAGACTCTAGAAAAGGTTGCTATTGTTGTAGCTGGCTGGGAAGACTCAAAATGCTGAATCTTTAAGAGCCAGGACTGTTCCCCAAGCTAAAGGACATCAAGGACCCACTGGCAGGGATACCTGAGCTGAGGGGAAGAGGAGGCATATGCAGGAAGGGGCAGAGAGAGGTAAAGGCATGGATTAGATACCCCTAAATCACTTCTAAAGGCCTGGGTGCCATGGGAGCTTGTTTCCTGATGCGGTGATACAGCAGACCATACAATGCCCCACACTTGGGAAATTGGACACCTGAGGTCTTCGGCCGGTTTTCCCCAATATATTAAGCCTCTTCAGTGTATGCTGTCTCACCTGGCTTGATGCTGTATCGGTGGCTGAGGGTAGACTCACAGTAAGGTTCTGCCCATCACCTGGAGTGTAGGCACAGATTGGGGGGGGGGGTGTGAATCCAGGGTGTCCAGTGACAGTCTGTGTGCTTCATTCAAACAGGCCAGTCTATCTTTCTCAGCAGCTTTCCTTTCCAGCTTTCCAAACTCATTTGTCTTGGGCCTCCTGCTGTGGGGACAGTTAGCCTGTATTTCCAATCTCCTGGCCTCAATAGTGGAGGGATGGGGACAGGAAGCCTGAGAGACCCCTGGATGATGAAGCAAGTAGCCCTTACAGCTTCTCCCCAGGACTGCATTCAGTGTCCTAACTCAGAAGGCAAGTGATACAACACTTCTTCTCTCTCTGGCCCTCTTCTCACAAGGGATTACCACCCTGTTCCTCTGGTTTGCAGGACTGTGGCTCAGGCTGTGGGACTCAGTTCTGTTTGCCCCCAGAGGCTTGGGAGCCCAGACTTTCAGGTGAAGAACTAGAGTTACATAATCAAAAGCCTTGGTTGGTTCTGGACCCTGGTTCCAGGGCAGGACAGCAACAGCCCAGGGCCTACAGGTGGAGTAGGGGAGGACCTGATGTCAGGCAAGAGGAGCACTCTCTTCTCCCAGTGTGCTGAGCTGGGCAGGCAGCAGGGTGTCTAAGGTGGTAGGGTGCAGGGGGCTGACTGCATAGAGAAGAGTGGCTGGGGCTGAATGAAATGGGCTGCTCCTCCCTTAGGAATATGCTGAAGGCTTACTAGCTAAGACAGCTCTGCTAAGGGTCTGGCTATCCTCCCCTTAGAGCAAGGCCAGCGCTGACTGGGGCAACATGGGAGTGTCCTCAGCAGTGGCTTCCCCAGACACCCTGCCCCGCTCAGAGCCTCTTGTGCTGCTCCAAGAGGCCTCCCACATAGTGAGGAGAGGAGCTGTGGAGAACCCAAATAGGAATGCCAGCCTGCTGGGCCAGCAATGAAAGGTGAGACAGCTTCAGAGTAGGAGCTGAGATTGATGGAGGGAAAGATGCCAGAGACCAGCAGTCCTCAGAAGTCACTTTCCCAAGGACAGGATGGCAAGAAGATACTGTCCCCAAAATCCGGAGGAGGAGTCAACACCAGATACACAGCTTGAATCCATGATGTCTGCCCAGAGAAGCTTCACGACCTGACACACTGGCCAGGGACACACTTGATCATTATTTTTATTCACTTTCTCTTTTTGAAAATAAGAGTAAAATACAATATTTTCTATTTATATATATATATATATATATATTAGATATAGTTTATGCAAGGGTCAGCTGACATCCCTGGCTACTTGGAGGCAGTTGCTGATTCTGACCTTTGTGGAGGGAAAAAAGTTCCATTGACTGCCAAAAGCAGAATCTCTTTATTATCAAACAGCAGTAACGGGAAACCCTAACAGCTGTCAGACACAACTGAGACTGGGGAGCCAAGGGAAAGGGCAGCGGACACTGGAGAAACCCCACAGAAACACACACAGGTAGCACACTGCCTGGCCAGCACCCCATCCCTCAACCCTGTCTCTGTTCTAGGTGCCCTGGGCTGGCTGAGATGTTGTCGAGGAATGTATCATGAGCAGTAACCATCCTCAAGGGAGTGGATGGGGGGCTGGTACCCTTGGGCTTTCTGCTTGGTCTTGACCAAGCAGGTGCTTGCAGGGCACCAATGAGTGATGTGGGGTGGGGGGTCCAGGGCTGCTCTTGGCTCAGGTCTGCCCTATTGGGATCTATGGCCTCTAGAGCTCCTCTCTGTCAAAGGCTCTACTGGAACCCAGAGACCTTCCCCACACATCCAGACAGACTGCCAAGGCCCATCCCATTGAAGGTAGCAGTGGGGAGACCTTTAACACGCATCTCAGAGTTAGGGCAGAGAATGCCACGTTCAACTCTAAGCGCAGGGAAAAGGCAGAGAACCCTGTGGCCTCCTATCCAGCTCCTGCTGCTGCTCTGAGTGTTTCTTTTGGTCCCCTCCTCACGTGACCCACATAGCAGCAGCAATGAAAAAGGGGCAACCGGAGTATGGGGTGATTGATATTTCATCCCAGAAAGGTGTGCCACCTGGTTCTGAGTCCCCTGCAGTCAGGAACAGAGTCCTTTGGGTGGCCAGGGGACCCAGCCCCTCCCATCAGGGCTCCTCGGTGGGGTTAGGAGAAGGCTGGGGAGGGTGAAGGATGGGCCTCAGTTCTTGAGGATGGTCTCGTAGGCCTGGTACACGTGCTGGGACACCTCTGGTGCTCGACACTTCAGGGACAGCTGTAGGGAGAAAGGGGAGGGGAGAGAGAAGGCTCATCCCTGGGCTCCTTCTCAGAAAGGACTGAGAGGAGAGCTGAGCAAGAAGGCGGGTGCCAGATGGAAGAGTGTGGCGTGCACACATGGCATGGTGACAACTGCGGCTGGGGCAGATGTGAGGTAAAGCAAAGGGGGTGGCCATTGCAGCCAGCTGGGTGGGGACCAAATATACTTGCAGCCCACACACCTGCTGTCAGTCCCACCATTGGAGTCCTATTGGCAAGCAGCGTGACTCACAGGCAGGAGGCTGCCAGGAGTGCCCAGCCCCCACCAGGTCCCTCAAAAGCCTCTGGAGTCTGGGGTCCTCACAATGATACTGACAGGAAAACCAGGAGGGCAGAGGGCTGGGACGATGAGGTGTGCTGGATTTGTTCCTGGCTCCCTGCATAGGCAGCAGGTATGTCAGGTTCTGACTCCATGTTAAGATCTGAGCTTTGAGATTCCCAGCAGAGAGAAGCCAGCCACTTTTACCACTCAAAAGCACCAATTCCAGAGGATACAAGCAGAAAGGGATGCCAATGGGATCCTGAAGTCAGGAACATTGGCCCCAGAAAGGTCCCCTGAACCTCTTTAAAAGGCTCTATACACTGCATTGGAAGTGATGTTGTCAGCCCCTCACAGGCCACCTAGTTGGATAGTTTGCATGCATGTCTGCTCAGCTTTGGGAGCAGAAAAGATGCCAAGAAATGGGGTGCATACAGGAAAGCTGGGGTGCACTGAGGCCAGGCCAGGAGATGGAGCATGTGCAGCATGGCTAAGGAGGATGTGGGAGAAGAGGAAGAGAAAAGCAATCTGCTAACCTCCAAGTCCTGTACCACGACCCAGGCGCCAGCAGGAAGGTGAACATGCAGCAACCAAACACAGGGAGAAGGAAATTACCACCACTGAAGCCACCAGCACAGCTCCCACCCACTGTAGTGCCAAGGCGGCTGGCAGGGCCAGTGGGGGCAGGGTATGTAGGGACATGCCTGCCACAATTGGGTGCAAGGGAGAAGCAAAGCCTGGGGAATCTCTGGGCTAGGGAGTGCTGTGTAACCACGAAAATCAGGAACCTCATGGAAGCTATCTTCTGCCTGGAGTCAGCTTAAGGCTAAGAAGCATGGGCTGCTGGGAATGAAGCTCTGCCAGCCAGATATGTAGGTGCTCACATGGCAGTGGGTGCCAGGGCCCGTGCCCCGTGATGCTACTAGCCAGTTAGGCAGACCCCATTGTCTTACATGGGTAACTCTGGTGGGATTGAGTTGAAAGTTTCTAGAAAGATCTCTTTCAGGGACAGAATTGGTCATTACACTAGGATTGGTAGGACAACCCCATAAGAGCCAGTCCCTGGCCTCAGAGGGAGGTGGAGGAAGGAGGCTATCCTGGATGGGGTGGGGAGGCTGCAGGGCTGGAGCAGGCTCAGGCATTCTCACCGTGAAGCTGGGACTGCCTGGTTGGATTCGTAGCTCTGCCAGTACCCAGATGCCATTAGTCAGTTTCAGGGACTGGTAGAGCATGTCCTGGCCCTCCACATTCCTCTTGGCAATGGTGAAGATGTTGCTGTTCTGGAGCTTGGTGCTCACAGCCTCTGCAGGATTGGATGGCATGGGACAGCCCCATCAGTGAGGGGGCAGGGCTAGATCCAGGAGGGAGCGGGGCCAGTGGGGACCGAGGGGCTGGGCTCTAGGGCTTGTAGTCCTCACCCGCATTGAGAGAGCAGTCTCTGATCTGAAACTGGGCTTCATTCTCATTAGGAATATCTTTCCATGTGGCCAGGAACATCTGTCGGTCTGCAGGGTGAGTGGGATGGGAATGAGGGACAGGACTCTGATAAACCTGTAGGCCCTCAACAGCCTCAGACAGGAAATGGGTCTAGTGTTGAATGTGCTGCCTAAAAGCTGAGGACGGGCACTGGCTCTTTCCATAGGCCCCTTGCTTCCCTAAGTGAAACCCCTCAGTTCTGTGAGAAGGCCCAGAACGCCCTTCCTAAATGACCCATTTCTTGCATGTCTCCTCCCTCTACACACCGTCCTTCCTCCTGCTCTGGGCCCCAAAAGTCTGCTCATTAGTAATGTATACCTCCCAGGAACGCTGTCAGAAGGGGGAGGTGACTTGGGCTAAGTGCTCCCTGAATCCTGGGCTAAGCTTTCCCTGCAAAGCCTTCTCCAGGTCCTGGCTGTACCTTGAAACATGCTCTAGGCATATGTCTCCATGGTATGTCTTGACGCCCCCCCAAAGCCCATAGGACAGAGGAAAACCCACTGAGAAAAATGGCTCCATTGTAGCACAGTCCATTTGAGGGCTGGGAGTACAAGTGGAACCCTTACTATAGGCTTTGCAAGAGACCATGGTAGAGCAAAGCCATCCATCTGATCCTTGGCAAAGGCACCACTCTGGTTCAATTCCAAGTCACAGCCCACTACAGAGTTCAGGGGCTCCCCGAGACTCACCCATCTTCCCATCCTCCACAAAGAGGATATGCAGTGGATACAAAGTGCTGAAGTAGAAGATGTCAATGTTGTTCTTCACAGCCACCTAGATGCAAGGGCATCCTTGGTCACACCCTGGGGTTCAATACCATGGTCTCTTGGGCTGACACCACCTCTGAGGCCCGAGGACCCCAACAGATCCCCTCTGACCTGGGGTTCCTCTGAAACCCAAGAGCAGGACTCCATAGACTGGCCCTATGCTGACAAGGCTGGGCCCCTTCCCTAGGATTGAGGGGTGGTAAGAACTGGGGGGTAGTGGGCCAGGGGTTTAGCTCAGCAGTGTAAGTGCCTGCTTGGCAAATGTGAGGTCCTGAGTTCAATCCCCGGTCAAAAAAAAAAAAAAAAAAAAAGAACTGAGGCGGCGGGGAGGTCCTGCTGGTACACACCTGGAGATTGTTGAGGGGATCCATCTTCATGACTGAACCCACTGTGTTGAGAGGCAGGGAGATCTCCACAGTCTGGTTGGGGCTGAGTGGTGCATGCACCTGGAGGGGGGCGGCGGGGGCCAGGCCAAAGCTGGGGAGAGAGAAGCCCCCACCAGGAGGGCAGGGAACAGGTGCTGACATTCAAAGATCCTCTCCACTAAACCAGCCTTGCCCAAGCTCCAGGCCCAGGACAGGGTGAGTGCCTGATCCCCCAATCCCTACCCCATGGCCATTTGTTCAGGAGGCAGGGGCCTTGGGCTGGCTACTCTGCCCCAGCCTGGCTGCAGGCTGACAGTGAGCTGTTCTTTTTTCTACTCTGGATTGGGTACTGGTGAGCACAGTGTTGCCTTGCTCTGCCTTGCCCTTGAGGAGCTTCATTGAACACCAGAAGGCTGGACTGTATTCTTCTAAATTAAAAACTCTTGACTCCTCAGGCCTCTCCTGCTGATCAGCATCTCAGAATAACAGATGTCCCAGCCAAAGGGTCTTGGAAGGTAAGTCACAACAGGATGGACTGTAAACTGAATTGAGCACTTGGTATGACAAGGCTGGACGTATGGTATTATACCAATCATTGTCCTTGTAAAAAGAGAGACAGCTATTAATCATCGCATTCCCCAGATGAAGACATGGAGCCCCAGGGAGGATATGCTTGTGCCCAGGAAAAATGGCAGGGTGAGAATCAGAGCTCAGGTTGCCTGACTCCAGCTGTGCTATAACCACAGGCCAATCAGACTTGCCGGGCACAATGGATAATGATATGGAAAAACCCAAGCCTGAAGTGGGTGAGCATTCCAGGATTTCCAAGGAGTGTCATAGTGCCTGCTGTGTGATGCTGGGCAAGATCATGACCCTCTCTGAGTACAGATAGCATGACCCATTAAAGCTTTTGGCAGAGTTTGATATCCAGGAAATGTATGGTACACTGCAGATTTGTTTTGAGCAATCATCAGGACTACTCCCAGTAGCCTGGGGTACATCTGTGGCCCCGAAGGGTTCTTCCAAGAGAACTGGCACAGCTGTCCCAGCCCTCCTGGTCTGTACAAGGGTCAGGGTACTCTGGAACCCAGGCTCTCCTAGAGGAAGCAGCCCCTTCAGTCAACTTCTTAGAGGCTTAGTTTGCTCATCACTAGAGCCTCTCAGGAAGAAGGAATCATCAGGAGGGGCTACTTTGAGTCCCCCTGGAGCCCTGGCCCAGGCAGCCTGATTCTCTATGGAGCAGACAGGTGAGCTTCCCTACAGACACACAATGCAGGGGATGGAAAGGGATGCCAACAAGCCTGGAGCAGCCAACATTCATTCATAGGGGCCCTGCCTGTTAGTGTAGTCTTTGGTCCTGAAGAAGGCTGGCAGCCAAGCCCACTTCTCACCTGCTTTTTCAGCTGCTCTCTGAACAGGATGATTTGGGCCTAGGAGAAGAACCTTGAGCTCTTAGCAAGGTGGACTTGGACTTCAACACAGGCTGATGGGCTGAGTTGGGATTTCCATCTCAGTACTCCTCCATACAGCATAGGAAGGCAAATGTAAGGGAAGACACCTCCCCATTCTGGAGGTACTTTGGAATTCACATAGAGAGGTCATAAGGAAAAATCACTGCTGTAGACAGTTGTGACTTGAGGGTGGTGAGAACATCTACCGTCTCTAGAAAAGCGGCACCAGACCTCAGCCAGTTACAGTCCCTGTCTATAGGCCTGGCAAGGACTCTCCTTAGGCTGGCCCTGGGGAGCTCACCTGTTGCGGTTGAACTGGATGGCAAAGTCTGTCATAACCTGCAATGCCTTGTTGGTCAACTGCAGATCCATGGAGATGGAGCCCACTTGGCGCATAAAGGTACCCGAGATTTCCAGCCCTTTGGCCTTCATGGCTGGGAGCCAGACCTACAAGGAAGAGAATGAGGAGGACTGGAGCCGGTCTCTTCCTAACAACTTACCTGTGGGTCCTTTTTCCTGAAGGGGCCTCCTATAGTGATCACCCTTGCCTTTACCATGAAAGATTAAGAAGAATGATCCTGTATATAAAGCTACCACCATGGTGACTTCACATCATACCTGGGGGTGGTAAGGCTTGGTGCATTCAGTCTTTAGAGGTCAAAGGAACACTGAGGAAGCAGGGCTGAGGAAGGCTTTAAGACAATGGCACTTTGGCAGCCTTCTGATGAACCAAGGACAGGGCCAAGTGCCCAATAGCATCCTGGACCCTGACCAAAGCCCAAGGTCTCCCTGGCTGTCACAGCCTGTCTTCCCTTTGTAGAAACTAGCCTGGCCAAGAACAGTACCTGAGAAGACCTTTTGTGTGGCAGGCCCTCAGCTGCTTGACTGTTTTTGTCAATAGTTTCAGCCCAAGAGCCACCTCCTCTGAGAAATGTGCACCCATGCTCCTTCCTCACATTCATGGCCCGGTCAGGGGAGGGGAGATAAATAAGAGCCCACGTGTTTCCTCTGCTTCTGGGCTGAACCACTCTGCTTTTCTGCCTTTGCATTCTTGGCTCAGGGCCTGCCATGGAGCCAGTGTTTACGAAGTGTTTGCTGAACAAACAGCAGGAATCACATCCCACCCTATGAAGTATCTCCATGTGTCACCCTGTGAACACACAGACACCTCACAGACTGTTATTGTCCCGATGGTTCATACACCCCTCAACATCAAAAGTCTTACCCAAAAGTTGCAAGTGCGTCAGTATTTATAATCACCCCCATGCTGCAGTCACTAGCCCATGACTAGTCAATGTCACCTTCTACATCTGCCCAAGGGCCTCCATTTCCCTCCTTCTCCACAGACGTGTATCTAAGCTGCCACCAGAACTGTGATCATAGGGCCCTGGGAACCTCTTTTCACCTTGCATGGACTTCCAGAGCCTGGGGACCACTTTAGGCTTGATTTGTCTGATCTGGCCCCTGTTACTTGGGACCCCACACCCATCATTCCCTATTTGGAATGCATTTCCCCAACACCTTGGTTGAGCCCTCCATACTCCCTGGACAAGTCTGTGCAGGTAGAAACCCTGTGTGTAAGTACTCAGAGGGCTGCTGAGCCTGACTCTGGGCCTGGCTTCTTTACCTGTCTCCCAAAGTCAGCTCCAATGGGCCTCCTCCTGTCCTTGAAGAACTGGTTGTGAATCTTTTGTGCCTGACCCTGTTCAGTAAGGGTGGAAACTTTGTAGCTCTTGGTCACTGTGGGCTCACAGGGTCCAGTGCAGGTACTAACCAAGTCACCAGCTACTGACCTACATGCTGGAAAAACTCAACAGTTCAACACACAGGGAGCCCATCCCTTTGGATCATGAGGGGCAGAAGACGTATTTACCGCACGATGGGTAGGAAATGCACAAGACAAATCCAGTAATTATAGCACTGTCAAAAAAATGTAAGTGACCTGCTGCTGCTTCTAAAGGGAGTATATACACATATCTCTGAACTCTGCTGTGACTAAGGCAGTGGGGATGGTCCTGCTCCTATTGCAAGGACTCCCTTCTAGGCACCATTAAGCCTTGACTTACTGGTTCCCTCATCTCATCCTGGCACTCACTGCTGACCAGGTACACTCATCTGGCCTTTCTCTAAGACAAAGTGATAATGTGATCTGTTAAAAAGCAGTACATGCATGCACCACCCCCGCTCCAAGCAATACACAAGCCAAAGGGCAGCCTGCCATGGGCCAGTACGCAGTTTTATTTCTTTTTTTTTTTTTGTCTTTTTCATTTTTATCGGTACCAGGGATCGAACTCACGACCGCCTGCTTGCAAGGCAGGTGCTTATGCCGCTGAGCTAAATCCCCAGCCCCTGCAGCTTTATTTCTTAGTAGCTCTGAGCTCTTGGCAAGGGAAGTAACATGGGTTGAAGGGATCTGTTGGCCCACCACTAGCCCTATGATATTGGGCTTTTAACAGGTTTGGGTTGGCTTTGTGCCCTAGTGTGCTAATTAGTCAAGTGAACAAGGTTTACATCATATCCTATGTCTCATGTCCTAAGGTCCCACTGATTCTGAGAACCTATGACACTGAGGCCTACTGGTAGGTTTCCTTTTCCAGCATAATCACATTGGTTAGGGGCAGAACCTTTGGTATCACTGCCCTGCACTCCATTTCACACTCACTTACCAGCTATGTGACTGTGGGCAAAAGCACTCAGATTCCTCAGCTGCAAAATAGAAGTAACGGCAACATAAGGCTGGTGCTGTGGTGGGCTGGAGCTGCCTGGCATGCAGCCAGTTGCTGCTAGTGTCACAACTGCTGTCCTTGTGGATCTCTTGGGACCAGGCTACCAGGAGCTGCAGCCACCCACTGAGTACAGCTGGCACATTGTGGGTAAGCCAGGTCAAGAAAGGGCAGGTACTGGTTTTACACATGTCTCCCTGTGCCCCTGAAGCCACCTGCACCCTGCTCTAGGGAGGGACGAAAATGGTGTTCTGGCAGATGTGGCTTCTGCTTTGAGTATTGTGAGAGGACTAGACCACATCTGTTCTCTCTAGAGCTTCCTCAGTGCTAATGACATGGCCTATTCTGGGTCCTCCTTAGTCTTGGCTTACATGTTATTAAATCTAAACTCAGCTCTCCTCCCCCCAGCCTGTCCCCGTCTAGTGTCCCCATCTTGACAACTTTTGTCACCCTGAGTCTCATATCAGAACATCCCTAGCCCCTCATGTGTTTCCCTTCCTACTTTCCAAGTACAGTTTCTGACTTCACCCCCAAAGCTGTCCTCTTTAAGACATGGAGCCAGTAGCACCTATCCTTCTTTGCTAAGGTTCCCTTTCCTGGGCCAAAGTCAGCAGCTCTCTTAAGTGCAAGTCATACAGTTTTTACACTCAATTTAAAACCTTCTCATAGTTCCTGAAGAGCCTGGATTAACAGCAAATGGTCAGCCTGGCTCCTTGGACCTTGCCAGTGTCCTCCTTCATTAATCTCCAGCCAGCCAGGAATCTCAAGGGGTGGTGCTACCTTTGGTAATTGGGTAATTATAAGACATCTCCAGGTGGCACAATGCAAGGCCATATGTCTCATGGGCTGGAGTCAGAATACTGGACATTCTTCCAGGGAGATGACAAGCCCCCATAATAAGCAACCATCTTGTGTCCATTGAGCATTTTCGGTAATGATTTTTATGAAGTTCTATGGCTATAACTCAGAGGGAGCCTGTGTTTTGTCCTGTTCAGAACTTTATGGGGCATCAGTCAAAATTTCAGTACTAACAGTACTGATGGCCATATTACTTATGCTGCCTGGGCTACTAACACTATCTGAAGTTATCTCAGTCACAGTGACAACTTTTGCATGTTTCTGAGGCAGAAACATGAAACATGCACAACACTGAAACATGCATTCTCTTCCTTTTGTCTCCATACAGTGATTGTACCTGATTACTTCTGAAATTCTATGTGCATACAGGTCATACATTTCACCAGTTTCCTTTAGGGACAGGAAAATATCCCCTGTAACTAAGGTGCTAGGTCCAACAGCATGGAGAAGCAATGCCCAGTTCAGTGTCCTGACAAGGCTAGGTGTGCTCTTCCTGCCAGGCTTTGCTACAGCTCTTCTCTGGGCCTGAAGTAGTCTGTGAGAATTTGCTCAGCTAGTTCTGACTGCTCTGCAAACCTGTATTCAGGGAACCGTTTTAGGGGAAGTGATCCCAGGCCCCCAAGCCTGGTTCACCTCCTCTTCCTCTGCTGCCACAGCCCATGGCTGGTCTGAGTTGATTCCTTGGCATGGAGCACACTGAAGGAATTCATGCACTAGTCTCTGTAACTTGTTTCTGTCAGAAGAGAAGGTGAAGCACTTACTGCTTTGGGTGGCACATAGGATCCTGATAGGGTGCCCACACCACTAGTCAGGTCAAAGAGGTCACTCAGGCCACTGCCAATGGGTGCTCCTAGTCTGGCAGGTGCTGCTGGTGGGGGTGCCCCAAAGTTGGTATCCCCAATCTGCAAAGGAAGAGAAAATAATCAGAGGCAGGCATCAGTAGCAGGGACATCAGGGGTCTAAGAGCAGAGCCACATCACCTCTAGAAACAAGATAGAGGTGGGTAGAGGAGAGGCTGAGCCTTCCTATGCCCTATAAGCCTTGTACTTTAGACAGTGACCCCGGTGGGGCTTGACCTATGAATAAAAGGGAGATCTGGGAAGCACTGTTAAATGAGATGTGCTAAGTAGCCCAATGCTCTCCCTCTGAGAGCTGTGGGGACTGAGAAGCCCAGTAATTCTCAGGATGACGAGGCAATCAGCTCTATCTAGGGTTGTCACAGGCTGAAAAGAACATAGTGAAGAATGTCACTGGGGACCCAGTGGCAACTGAATGCCAGGAGATCAACGCAGAGGCTTCCAGAACACCAGACCAAAGGCTGGGTGCTCAGAAGGGTAGCAATAACATGTTGTCATCCACTCCTTGGAGCCAGACTCTTAGGATAAGTAGGGAGGAAGGTTGGTGACACAGAGTTGAACCATACCCCTTCAGGCTCATCCCCCATCTCCAAGCAGAAGCAGGCAGGGTGAAGAGAACAGGCAGCAACATGCAGAGAGAAAAGCCAGGAAAGACAACAAAGAGACAAGAAAAGGAAAGAGGGAGAAGATTAGTCAATTGTGGCTTCATCTGAGTTTGGTTTGAGACCCAGAGCCTGTCCCTCTGAGGGGTACTACCTTCCATGGCTTCACCCTTGCCACCCTCATGTCTTGTGCTACTGCCCTTCTAACTTTGGCCTAGTGATATAAATTACCAGACTCCTGCTTGTGGACTACAGCCTTGGGCATCTAAGCAAAGCTGTGCCAAGGAAAGGGCATAGGTGCCCCTCCACCCACCCCACCCATTCCTGCAGCGGCCCCAGAGGTCCCTGGACCAAGATCACCACTCTTCTCTCTATGGGGAGGAGGGAATTCTGCCCTGACTTCTTATAGTCCTTCTCAGAGGGGCCTAGCTGGGCTGCTGTCTTCAATGGGATAGCCTGAGAGCAAGTGGACACAGGTTTAGTTCATCGAAGTCAGAACACTGAAATACAGCATAGGTGATGGAAGAGCCAGACTTCAAGGAAGGAGCTAGGAGTATCCCTGGCCCTTTGTGTTGGAATGGAAGGCTGTGTAGTTTTGCGAAGCCTCAGTTTTCTCACTGCTAACTAGGGAGCTACACAATCACCTCGAGGGCAAATGTAATACAGCAAAGGTCCTGCACAGAGGACTGCTTGCACTCAGTGACTGCTCCTCTGAAGATCATTATCAACATCAAGGCAATAGGGGGTGGGGATGGCCAAGACATACCAGACTGTCAAGGCCACCTCCAAGAAGGTCCACAGCTCCCATTTGCACTGAGGAGGTGGTTAAGGGTGGGCCGCTCACTGGGGGCCCAAGGTCCAGGTTGAGGAGGTCTCCCAGCAGGTCGCCCTGGGTGGGGATGACATCTGGTTGTTCAGCAGTGGGGGCTCCAGCAGGGGCTGTTTCAGGGCTCTCTGTGCTTTCGTTCCTGCCAAACAAGAAAGGAAAAGTCAGCAGATGAGGGTGTTTGGATGTCCTAAGGAGGTGAAAAGGATCCTAGTCTTCAATATTCTTCTGAGACAGACAATGGGTCTCCTTGCGGTCCCAGAGGACATTCTCACATCTGATCCATTTTTCAGGCTCCCTATGGGGTGAGTGAAGGGAGAGGGCCAGGTTCACTTCTAGGACCATACTGAAGAGAAAACTGATGCCTGTCCTCAAGGACTATATTATCAGACCAAACCAGTTACTGGGGAGCAGCAGAAGAGATAGCAAGAACAGGGCTCTGCACTAGTCATAATTGGGTCTAACAGTGTGCTCTGCTAACTGGATCATTCGGATTCTCTGTGCCCACTGATCTGCTAAATGGGAACTGCTCTCTGCTGCTGATAGGATCAAATGAGGTCAACTAATGAACATCTTGTGTGTAGTTAAACATTAATAAAAAGTTGCTAGAATCAGTTTGCCTCAGACTCAGGCCTTGCCAGGGGATATCACATAAGGCTTAAGGCCTATGCCATTGAACTGAGGGAGCAGATGGGAGGAACAACCCACATCAGGCCAAATGCACTCACGAGGCTGTACGGGGTGGCAGGCTCTTGTGCACCACGCCCCGGCCTCCCTCCACAAAGGCGCTGGGTGGCTTATGATATACAGAAGCCAGGGTGCCTATGTAGCAGATAAGCTCATCCAGAAGTGTAGGCTCAATGAGGTCTGTCTCTTCAGAGATGAGTGGCTTCTCAGCCAGCACTACCTCCTTGGCAGCCACAGGGTCGGTGGAGAGCAGGCGCCAGTAGATGTAGCCACGATCCCGCAGGTCTGGGTTGTCTGAGTCCTTGAGGGAAATGACAAGCTGGTGGAACTCCTCCCTGGGCAAAGGGAGGAGACTCCCACTGCCACATCAATCAGGTATGGTCACAGGCAATGACACCAATCTTGAGCACACCCAAGAGCCAGTCTCTGAACTGCTTAGAAAGACTTGTCCTATGCGGTAGTTGGCTTCCTCTGTTTTTTTATTCCAGTCTAGCCCAAGGCATGCCACACCCACTCTGGTCTCCATTCCCACCTGTCTCTCTGCCTTCCCTGTCCTCCTGTAGATCTGCAGGTGCCACAGACACTGCCTCCTCCCCATTTATAGCCTATCTCCACTACACCCCTTCATCCCATTCATTTAACTCTTAGCTCCTGAAGGCAGGGATGTCGGGTTACCTTGAGACCAGCCCCTACAGATACCACTCTGGGAGTGACATGGCTCTCAGGGCCAAGCTCCCCTTACCACATTGAGGGCTGCATGATGCCCACTAGAAGGCCAGGCACCCACCTGAGTGGCCAAACTGAGGACCTGCTGCACCAGTTCCTGGGTCTCTGTTGGCTTCTTCAGAAACAGCTTCACAATGGCTGTCAGCAGTTGTAGCTGTACCTATAGGGATACAGGAGGAAGGATGGGCTTCATGTGGGCAGTGGGAAACCAAAGGAGGGCATGGCCAAAAAAGGCAGCTCAAGATCTCCATAAGCCAAGAGCAGCTTTGCTAGGTTTGGTTTTCACCATGAAACACAGACTAAGGAAACAGGGCCAGATCACAGCGTTACTCAGGAAGTTTACGGTCACTGCACTACTTGGCCATCTCAGGGAGGATCACCCAGTGTAAGCTCTGAGACACCTGTCCAAACTCAGGCCCACAACACACATTAGAAGCTCATAGCCTCAAAGAGCAACATGTGGGGCACAGCAACACATATCTACAATCCTGCACTCAAGACAAAAACAGGAGGACTGAGTTCAAAGCTTGGACCTCATAGCAAGTTTAAGGAGTATACTGAGACCCTGTCTCAACAAAAATAGATAAAAAAAGTAACACATGTGGCTAGTATGTTTCCTAAAGGGACCATTTGTCAATAGGCAATGTCCCCATGGAGGCCTAGGGGAATGGACTAGCAGGTAGGCCAACAGAGCCAGCCTGACCTCAAGGAGCTGCATTTTTTTCCCCTAGAAGATTTAACCCAGGGCCTTTGCCCTAAACTACCTCCAAAGCTCTTATTTATTTTGATTTTGAGATAAAGGTTCGCTAAGCAGCTAAATTGCCCAGTATGGGCTTCAACTTGCATCTGGTTTCTAAGCCAAGAGGCAGCAAAGGATCTGGCTTTCACACTTGGCTCTAGTTCAGTGGCCTACAGGAAGTCATTTACCCAATGTCAGTGAATGCAAGCTGCAGCTTCCTTCAAAGGTTTCTTGTGAGCTCTGAAGTAGCAACTTGCCTATAGCTAGGGTTAGATTACATTCCACTGGAACTCTGGTTCTATCCCTTCCATGCTAGGTGATCTTAGGAAAGTTACTTCTTACTTAGGAAAGTTACTTACTTAGTTTCCTCATCTGTTAGATGAATATAATACCTCACAGGGTTAATGGGAAGAGTCAATGAGGCAACAAATGTAAAGAACCTATTGTGTACTCTGTTCAATACACAACAGCTGTCCCCATTGGCATTAATATCACTACTACCATCACACAGGGACTCTTTACAAGTCTTCCCCAACCCAGTCAGCTGGCTGCCTGGAACCATTCATCACTGTCAGGGCTGCTGTGCTTCTGGTTCAGGTCTAGTCTTTGCCACGACTGGGTGATCTGGCCATGAGCCCAGGGCCTGGCTCAGCTTCCTGCCTAGTTCCTTGAACACACCAATCCCTCCACCTCAGAGAAGCCAACCTGCCATGGTACCGTAAATCCTGCCACCCAGGAGACACAAATACATCTGATATACCTGTCCATGGCCAAGATTTCCTGTCCATGACTACCAGGGCATAAGAGCCAAGCGAGGATAAGGACCCTAGAAGAGACAATCTAAACTGAGTTTGAAAACTGTAAAGTACTAAATAGGTATTCTTAAAATAGCTTTGGAACTGTCTCATGAACTCAGGATGCAGGAAACTGGCTATTAACCTCTGCCCCCTTATTATCATGAACTGAGTAATGGACAAAGCATTTGATACACCACATCTAATAATCTTTATAACCCTTTAAGTCAAGAAAATTGACTTGGTGAATTTTTCCTTGCCTAACAACTCCTCCTCCTCACTCCATAGTACTACAGATTGAACCCTGGGCCTTGTATGTACTAGGCTACTGATCTACAACTGAACTACACCCCTAGTCTTTTTGTTTGTTTTTGAGACAGCTCAGGCTGGCATTAAACTTGGGATCCTCCTGTCTCAGTCTCTCAATAGGTGTGTGCCACCATGCCAGCTCCTCGACTTTTCCAATACTGGCTCATTAGTAGGCTTAGACAAGGGGAAAGAGGCTACAAAGATTTATGCTTATTTTAAGGCAGCGCCTCAGTGCCTCAGCCCTTCAGGCCATCCTCTATAGTAACGCCATGCAGGACTTGGTTGCAGGGTTAGAAACCATCACAGGCCAAATTTTGCTTATCAGATAAGAAACATGGGGCTGTTGTTGAAAGTGAAGGCAGTTCAGTGGCAGGTGGCAGTGGAAAGGGTGACAGTAGGAATTATTGCTATAGTTCTGCCAAGGACAGCTGCTGTTTTTGCTCACCCACAATCTACTGTCGTCTGGTAACAAAAATGCTGGCTTTCTTTCAGAGAACCACCCTTTCAATCCACAGAGATTGAGATGGACATCTATGGGACCTAGCTGATCACAGCCACAACGAATGGCTCAGGACAATGCAAACAGATCTTGAGACTTTTGATAGACTGCTGAAGGGGGAAACTGGTCTTTCCCTAGGAGTTGTTAAGCTACAAGAATAGTTCTTAGAATGGCTAACCCTTGTTGCTACTATTGCTGGGAGCCTGCCCAAGGCAGAAGCTATAGCAGGGTTGTAGAGATGGCCTGAATGCATTACATGAGAAGCTGCAGCCACAAGAGTGGGAAGGGTGTATGGTTCCTAGAAATGTCAGCTATGGGAACCAGTTGTTCTCATTTTTTACCCTGGAACAGTTTACTGGTTTTGTTTTTGTTTTTTTTGTGAGATAGGGTAGTGTAGGCTGGCCTAGAACTCACAGAGATCTTCCAGCCTCAACCTCCCAAGTGCTGGGATTACAGGCATGTGCCACCATGCCCAGCTAGGACCCACTTTGAATTCAATTTTAAAATCAATTTTTGAAATAAATTTTGATCCAAACCAATACTACTAGTATGACTGCTTATTATGAACTGGACATATGTTAAAGACATTACACAAAACATCCCACGTAACTTTCATAGGATGAATGTCTAGTGATCCTCATTTTACAAATAAGGAAACTGAAACTCAGAGAGGAAAAGGGGTAAGCAGGTATTCATTGATCCATGTGGGGACAAGGGAGATGGTCTCACAAAATCCACTCACAGATCCACTGGGTTACAATGCTCCCATCAGGCAGACTACTAAAGGCCCACATGAACAGACAGTTCCCAGAAAAGTTGCCCATTCCCAGTTTCCCAGTTCACAGAAAAGGGAAAACCTAAGACAAAATCTCAGCCTCATAACAGAAATGCAAATGAAACTACACAGAAGTTCCCCTTATTATCTACAAGACTGGCAGAAACAAAGTGTACCCTGCCAGTGAAGAGGCAAGAAAAGAGCAATCTCACCAACTAAAATGGAAAGTAAATCACAACAATCTCTATACCATAAGAAATCAGGCAATAGCTCCTCAAATCTCAGATGTACAGCCCCTCTCTCCCAGCACACGGTTTAAAGATTTATCCTCCTGATGTACATACAGTTGTGCATTACCCAGCCCCATCACAGTGGTACTGCTTAAAAGAACAGTGGAGCAGGCACTTCAATATCCACTGAGGTAAATAATGGCATGGCCCTCACACTTATTTTCAGGGAAAAAGGCTAAGTGCTGAACAATTTGAATTTGCTCAGTACGCTACCATTAGTGTTTAAAAATGAGATGGAAATACATAAATATACACAGGCAATCTTCATTATTCACTCCCCTATTTGTGAGTCTGCCCACTTGCTAAAATCTACTTACAGCCTTCAATCTATGTCCATAGTGCTTTTGTGGTCACTTACACCTGTGGGCAGAGGAGTAAAAATATGGCTGCCGGACACACACAAATTCAGAGCTGAGGTAAGATAAGGTGGTTACTCTGACTCATTTCAGCTCTAGTGTAAACAAGCATCCTTCCAGGATTTATGAATGCCGTATTTTTTCACATCTTTGAGCTTTTTGTTGGTGACTTACTTATTTAAAATGACTCCCAAGCATAGTGTTGAAGTGCTCGTCTATCATTCCTAACACAGTAAGAGGGCTGTGAGGTATATCTTACAGAGAACATACACGTGTTAATTCAGGTGTGACTTACTTATAATTCACGTGTGAGTCCAATGTTAATCAAAAGTATCTATTAACTAAACTATTTTTTTTTTTTTTTGTCTTTTTCATTTTTATCAGTACCAGGGATCGAACTCACAACTGCCTGCTTGCAAGGCAGGCACTTATGCCACTGAGCTAAATCCCCAGCCCCAACTAAACTATCTTTAAATAAAAACACACACATAAAACAAGATCATGTACTTATCAGCTGACAAAAATGTTGTGCCCAGACTCTCATAGGAACCTTTGTACATCTCCTGGAAACAAAAGTTCCATACTTACTAATTCAGTGTTTGCAGAGATACAGAATACAAGTATCATGAATAACAAGAACTGACTACATATGAGTATGTATGTATACATGTAGGTGTGTGTGTGTGTGTGTGTGGGGGGGGTGATCTGCCACTGTATTCATGGATAATTTCTGCCAGCCTTGAACTCACAACTTTCTGCCTCAGTCTCCCAAGTACAGGAATTATGGGCATGTATCACCATGCTTGGCTTACCTTTTTCAATTTTGAACTGAGTCAACATATTATGTACTCAAATATAAAATTGCTCAGCAGTATAAGTGCCTGCCTAGCAAGTGCAAGGTCCTGAGTTTCATTCCCCAGTACAAAAAAAAAAAAAAAGAAAAAAAGTTAATATATTCTTTCTTTTTTTTTTTTTGTCTTTTTCATTTTTATCGATACCAGGGATCGAACTCACAACCGCCTGCTTGCAAGGCAGGTGCTTATGCCGCTGAGCTAAATCCCCAGCCCCAGATAATATATTCTTTAAACCAGGCATGTTGGTGCACTCCTAAATCCTAGCACTTGGGAGGCTAACGCAGGAAAACTGTTTGCAAGTTCAAGACCAGCCTGGCTACAAAGTGAGGCCAAAGCCAGTCTAAATTGCACAGCTAGACCCTGTCTCAAAAAGGCCAAAAAAAAGAAAGAAAGAAAGAAAGAAAGAAAGAAACCCAGAAACCTTCCTTACATATCACTAAAACTATTTCCCATGTTCCCTGAGGCACTGCCCTGGGGAAGGAAAAGGGACCACACTGGTAATATATCACTGGCAGTACAAGGAAGTGTTTCAGGGAAGGACAGGCCACACTGGGTCAAAAATGCCAGTCGTGACTACCATCATGGCCCAACTCTGCCTGTGTGAAGGCTTACCTGGGTGCTTTCATCATGGAAGCCCTCAAGGAAACTCTCCAGCAGCTCATCTGCATTGTCAATCCGCTCAGCATACTCGCCCACAATCCAGATCATGGCAGCCCGGGCCTCAGGTTCATCCAGGGAATCGAGATTCTCACACAGTGTGGCAATCACGCTCTCATACCTGGAAGAATAGGATACAGTAGTACATGAACATTGCAGAAGGCCCACAAGAGCCAAGAGAGACAGGCAACTATCCTGCAAGACCCTGAAAGGTGGTAAGGAGAGGGAATTTGAGTTTCATCTGCTACATGTTCTTATCCTGACCTGGGGAGTAACGGAGAACTAGCTCAGAGAAGGGAAGGAGGAAAAAAAAAAAGGTTCTGTTGAGAATGCTGCCTGTGGCAGGAAAAGAAAGGAAGACGGGAGGGGAGAAGCTCCCCTTTCTTCTCCCCACTATAGTACTTGTCCTCAAGCAGAGTCATATTGCCCTCTCTCTGGGAGAGGTGAGCACCTACTTGTTGGGGTACTTGCGGAAAATGTCCTTAATGACCACAATGGCTTCCTGGACCACATAGTTGACCTTGGTCTGGATGAGATCAAGCAGTGTGCTCACACAGCGCTCTGCAGATTGCTACGTGGAAAGAGGAAGAGAGTGTGGGTAAGGTCCTTTACTTCATTTTCAATAGTTATTGATGACCATTCCTGGGCCAAGGAGCCTAGGGCCAAGGAGCCTAAGTCACTCCTTCCCTTCATCATAGCAGAATAGAACATTCTCCCCTGGTAATAAAGGGTAAGGTAGGGGGCTGGGGATTTAGCTCAGCGGCATAAGCGCCTGTCTCGCAAGCAGGCAGTCGTGAGTTCGATCCCTGGTACCGATAAAAAGGAAAAAGACAAAAAAAAAAAAAAAATAGAGGGTAAGGTGGGGACAGGAGAGTAGTAAAGTGCCAACTGATGGTCCACAGGAAAGCAGGGACACCCAGGCTATAGAGAATCCAGGGGCAGCACTTCTGAGAACAGAGAGGTCTTCAGAGCTCCTCTAGGCCAAGCCTTGATGGTAGACTCCTCTGGTTTGACACTGTTTCTCTTATGTGTTTCATAAAACGGGCTCTTATGACCAAAACCACTCACAAAATCTCTGCATAGGCCAGCTCTTCTGCTTTTATTCCCACACACTGTGCTAATGGCCCAGTGAAGATTTCTCAGGTTGGCCATCATAAACATTAAGGGGAAAATGCCTCAAGGGGACCAACTGTCTCAGAAACTCTAGCAAGCACTGGACCTATTTAAGGGGAGTCTAGTTCAGCAGTCAAGGAATCTCTCCCCAAGCAGAGAACAGGAGGATGAAATGCCAGGCACAGGGTCTAGAGTGGCCTAGGGGGTCTTGGTGAAAGTATCGTGGGCAGCTGAACCAGGATACTTGCCAAAGCATCCAACAGGCAGAGCCCCTACCCCAGAGCTCTGTGGAGTGAAGTCTACCAGGGCCCTCGTCAGCTGGTGGCTGCCCTAGTGTCTTAGCTGATGCTGGAGAAGAATACAATTATGATGGGTTAGTTTTATCCAATGTACTTTGAAGGCCTAAAGGAGAGTAGGTGAAAAAGAGCTTAACTGAATCTGCACAAGGGGTACATTGGGAGTTCCAGTGGTGACTCTGAAGCCTTTCTGGAGCATGGACTCTCGTAGAATCAAGTGTTTTCCTTTTTTAAACCTCTCTCCCCTTCTCTGGTGGCAGATAAGAGTACCAGAGCTCTCACCTCCACCTTGATGGCACAGCGGCCAATGGCACGCACAGCTTTCCTTACAAAATCCACATCCACTTCTGTTGCATACTCTTTCAGCTCCGCCAACACCTATGACCCGAACAGAGAAAATGGGTTGGAGGTATCCAATGGGGTAGCCACTTGAAACACTTTGGGGTAGAGTGAATGCAAAGACCAGGAGAATTATGGGATTCTGCCTCCTGCTCGATGTGGAAGGCCAAGGGGAGGGAAAGAGAGGTCAGATGCCTCAAAAGTAAGGTAGAGAATAACAAGCTGGCAGGGCTGCACAACCCTTACTTTAGGCTTCCACTTTTTTTGTGTGTGTGTGGCACTGGAGATTGAACCCAGGACTTCACACATGCTAACCAGGTACTCTATCACCAACTACTATCTCCAGCCTTAACTACTTCTTTTTAATGGACGGATGATAGGTAATAATAGGGAGAATATTCTTTAGTGACAAAAATTATAGGGTTTTCATATGCTTACCAAGCTAAAGGCCCTATGCTGAATATCTCCATAGGATGATCTGCTTATAGTAAAAATGACCAACTGACCCAGAGACCACAGTCAGTGCATGATGGAGCTAGCCAAAACCAAAGCTTGTGCCTGAGACCACCAGATTGCTCACCTGGGCAATGTTGGCCTGGGAAGCCAGGCGGATCATGATGTCTAGCTTTTCCAGCTTCACATAGATGGGATCATTGTACTTCACAAAGAATACCTTCATCTCGTGCTTCAGGATCTCAGGCCTGATGGCAATGTGGGATGCCCAGATGGAAAAAAATGCAAGGCATAAGTCACATGAGAAAACCCTTACAACATCTGATAGAACCTTTCTGGGGTCTTAGGCAGAGCCTGACATGCAGAGAAACAAACACCATTATGGTCTCATGCTGCTGGGTAGAGGGCCCTTAACAAGGTAGAGCCACTTGAGTACTGCCTATCTGAGTACATCTCAGGAAGGAAAAGAAGTACAAGAGATAGTTCAAGCTGAGGGTAGGTGGCACCAGGCGAAGCTCCAGCCCCAGCCAGTGACCTCAGGCCTTCTGTTTCTCAACCAACAAATAGGAATGACCTACAGGAAAGTGTTACCACCACTGGCCTGAGTCTACTAATCTGGAGAGGTTTCACTTTTTTTTGTCTTTTTCCTTTTTATGGGTACCGGGGATCGAACTCTTGACTGCCTGCTTGCAAGGCAGGTGCTCATGCTGCTGAGCTAAATCCCCAGCCCCCTAATCTAGAGAGGTTTACACTCAATACCTTTCCTTTTCAGAGTCTGAAATCTGAAGGAAATGAAAAGTCAATGAAAACTTTCAGTGCAGAGTCTCGATTAGACTCCTCTGAACAAAAACACTCTACATGTTTCTGTAATTCATTGCTAGGGACAAGGTGTGTCCTATGTGACACCTGCCCTCCACCAAGGGGGGGGAGGGACCACGAGGCTATATCTTATGGGCTGTTCCAGACTCTATCTGTGTCCTTGCCCCTTATGATTCAGTTGTGTGTCCTTCCTAGGTCATTCTTATAAATCTTAGCCATGAGTATAACTATGTGCTGAGTTTCATGAGAACTGCTAGTGAGTTTCTAAACATAGGCATGGTACTGGATGCTGGGGGTCCTGAAATAGACACTTACCTAACAGGGCAGTTGTGACAGTTAGATTTGTACTGGTACGATAAATGTCTATCTCAAAGGTACCATTTATTAGGGAGGACCTGTCACCATCCTAGCACATCCATTTGCACCACTGCTCTTCCTTCAAAGGCAGTGCCCTTATGTCCTCAACTAGCTCCTCCCATGACATTTTTCTTAGACAAGGAAACCTCAGAGAGGTCACATGCTAACAAAGCCAGGAGCAAGGCAACAGTCACCACTCAAACTCCTACTTCTTCGCCCTTTCTAAAACAGAAACCAAAAACATAAACTGCAACTCAAAATACCAAACTTTTTTCCTATCATTAGGAAAAGAAAGTCAGAGAAGAAGGAAAGATGAAGCAGAGAACTGAGGAACCCAGGTACTCGATGCTGTTGTGCAAGCTGCAGGGAGGGAGGTCCTGACCACATAAGCAGCCTCTGGAATGCTGGGTGGAGATGGTCACAGGGACGACATTCAGAGTAACGGGACAATGATTTCTACAATCAGAACTTGGCTATAACTTCCCAGTCACATGTTAGGGTTAGGCTGAGTCACACCTGGGTAACACAGACAACTTAAAGAGATTTACCATGATAAATATAGCACAAGGAGCTTTTCACACTGATCTAGATCTACAAGGCCTTACACCTTAGTGATTCAAGGACACTGGTATGTAAATATCCACACCACAACTTTGAAACCTTAGTCTGTTTTCATACTTTCTAAATATTCACAAATGTCCCAGTTCCATCAATATCTCTGAACTTCAAGTGTGTACTAAGAACCAGAACAATGGTACAAGGAGGGTGTGTTACTTTCCCAGAGGGAATGAATTGAAGTGGCCTTTCTGTGTTGACCTGCTCCCAGCAACAGGGCCTGCTGCAACTTGTGAATGTAAAATAGTTAGTTGCTACTGCCAAGTCCTGATTGCTGAGTGAGCCATTTGACCAAAATGGCTGAAAGCAGAACTTAAGAGGCTAAACCCTTCCTGGAGCTGCTGGGCTCTCTCACATAGTACCACCTCAGAGGAAGGAAGAGGTCATTTCGGAGAACCCTCAGATCCAGGGCTGCTTGATGTATTTTAAGCCCCACCCTTTAGATCTCTTAGAAACAGTGGCTTTCTGTAGCAACCCTCAGGAGAAAGAAGAAAACTGGTCCCACAGCATTTTGCTGACTTTGCTCTGTGCCTCCCAGGCCTAAAGGCTGGTGCAAAGTTCAAAAATTCCACACCATCTCCTTATTTTCCAACCTTGGGGAGCCTTACTAAAGCTATAGATTGTTCCCCGGAAAAATGCACATGTGCACACACACAGAATCTTTTTTTTTTGAGACAGATTCTCAAAAAAAAAAAAAAAAAAAAAAAAAAGGCTGGCCTTGAACTCACTATATAACCTATGTTACTCTCAAACCCACAGTGATCTTCCTGCCTCTGATTCTCAAGTGCTGGGATTATAGGCATGTGCTGCGATGCTCAGCCACCACAGCTTCTTAATGTAGGCACCATTGACATTTTGTCTTTTTCCTTTTTATCGGTACCGGGGATCGAACTCACGACTGTCCGCTTGCAAGGCAGGCGCTTATGCCGCTAAGCTAAATCTCCAGACCCACGGTTGACATTTCTGATCAGATAGCTCCTTGATGTAGGGGGATTATTCAGCACTTTAACATGCTGAGCAGTGTCCTTAGCCTCTACCCACTCAATGCCAGAAGCAGCCTTCAGTTGTGACAACCAAAGTGACCAGACATTATTGTTTTGTTTTGTTTTGTTTTTGGTACAGGAATCAAACTCAGAGCCTCATGCTTGCCAGGCTGGCGCTATATCCCTGACCCACTAAGACATTAACTGATGTCCTCCAGGAACAATGACACCTTGGTGGAAAACTCCTGAGTTCCTGAGTTAAGGTATTCTTTCTTTTCCTTGTTTTTTGAGGCAGGGTTTCATTATGTAGTTCAGGCTGGCCTTGAACTTACAGTGATTCCCTGACTCAGCCTCCCAAGTGCTGGGATTATAGGCATGAGCTACCACACCTGGCAAATTAAGGTACTTTAGTCTTCCTTCATAGTGAAAGGTCAGTTTCCCTTGAGTGCTTGTTCCCAGGGGTATGCACTATGGTATATGTGTGTGTGTGGCAGCCTTGATACCTTTTCTGCACGATAAGATTAATGTTTCGCAGGGCCACATACTGCAGCTCTGGCTCAGCTGACAGCAGTGTGACCAGAGGTGGAGCCAGCTTTTTCAGCAATGTGCCATAGTAGTCCAGGTCCTTGGACAACATCTCCATGAACTTCATCAGCACCTTCACAGCAGATAGCACCACAGCAGAGTTGGCATGGGAAAGCCTGGGTGTGACTCGCTCACAGATGCTGGGGTCCAGCGGTTCCAATCAGGCAAAGAGACAGAGAAGCGAAAATGTCCTTTTTAGTTATCAAAGTAATATGTCACCTGTATAAGGAAAATCTAGATCCTGTGTCTGCTGCCTTTTAACTGACCCCAAGCAGGCTCACATCATACTGAGCTTCAGTTTTCTCATCCATAAAGCCAAGATTATGATATTTGTTTCAGGAGTTGCTGGGGATGTAAGTGAAACAGTACATGTAAAGAATGACAATAGGGGCTGGAGGTTTAGCTCAGCAGCATAAGCACCTGCCTTGGAAGCAGGCAGTCGTGAGTTCGATCCCCGGTACCGATAAAAAGGAAAAAGACGAAAAAAAAAAAAAAAGAATGACAATAAGGTCAGCATGGTGGTACACACCTATAATCCTAGCACTCTAGGAGATTAAAGGAAGAAGACTATAAATTTGAGTTATACAAAAAATAAAAAGGGCTGAAGATGCAGCTTAATGAGAAGGCTTGGGTTCAATCCTCAGTACCACAGGAAAAAATAGTAGGGTGGGGGGTGTTTGCTGACCAAAAGTTAGGTGAGTCCCTGTTGGGTAATCTGCACAATTCCTTCCATCTGTTAGTCCAGAGTTTCCTCATTTGTGGATAATGATGCAATGCCCTACATAGAGTTGCTTTTAAGATTATCTAATCTGCAGAACATATTTAGCAGAAGCCCAGGTACTCAGAATTCAGCCAGTAGTGGCTTTCATGTCATCTATCTCCTGACTTGCCCATGTGACAGGGGTCTTGCCAGCTTTCAGTACCACAGTGAGCAGTGAGCTGATAGCCCAAAGCCACACTGCTGATCACTGATTCTGGAGAGATGGAAAGTGGATCGGCTCCCTCCGGTGTGCCTGAGAATGCCATGTAGGGCAAGGCCCTGGGAAGTGGCCCATGAAGGCCTGAGGCCCAGTTCAGCTGAAGCCTCCACAGAACTAGGTCTGGCTGGGGTGGCAAAAGCACAGGGATGCCTGCTCACCTCTGGGCCTCACGGTCGTCCTTGGGTGTGTAGTTAGCTAGGCAATCCAGAATGAAGATCTGGCCCCACTCGGTGCACTCATTTAGGGCTGTCAGCAGCTTGTTGATGGACTGTGGGTTCAGGTCAAGCAGATTGCTACTGGGGTGAGACTCAGCGATCTCTGAGAGGGCAGCCACTGCATTTGCTACAACCTGGTTGGGACGGTGGAAGAAAGAGGCTGAATGTATTGCTCCTGGACCAGGGGAAAGGGATTGAGACTTTGCTAGGTCAGAGTGGGACATCCTGAAAGGAATATGACCCTAAGGGCAGGATTTAGAGCCTTGAGGCCTACTGTAAGCACTTACCCTATTAACTCTCTAAATTAGAACTAAAATAAGGGCAAACGATGTATAAAAAAACAAAACAAAACAAAAAGCAACAAAATAAAAACCAAGGGAGCTGCAGTTTCAAGTGCTGGCACTAGAAAGCATTCCACCTAAGCAGCTACCTAATGCTACCTAATGCAACAGCCCCTATCTACCAGTTTCAGCAACTCTCTCGGCAGTTGGCAACTGAGCTTTTTAGAGCTAGATTCCTGCATATCCTGTCCTCAAGGGTGCTGGGAGTAGATGCAGCTTGGGGTACGGAGACTGGCCATGGGATGCTATGGTCTTTCACCCATTTCTACCAGAGCAGCAATGCACATATATGTTCTACATTGTTCTCAATTTTTCCCTATGATAAGTAATGCTCCAGTGACAGTCACTGTAGTGTACACTCAAACCCCAAGAGTGATCAGTGTTTTTGTAGGATATATGGCAGGGACAGTTAAGCCCAGGGGTTTGTGTTTATATTTCATTCTAAATAGGCCCTGCCAAACCACTCTTCAAACTGCTGCCGTCACCCTGGGGGAGGAGACTGGAGCCCTACCCAGTCATGCTATGCTATTTGAAGGGTGACTCTCTATAACCCTACAAAGATGTGGAGAAAGGGGAGAGAACCATATGTTCAGAGCTTACAGAGAGTGTTGATGAGGAGATGGTGACAATGACAGTAATTGGAAAGGGAAGAAGGGCACGAGTACTCATTGCACACTTGCTGTGAGCCAGGCCAGACATACTATCTTCCCAGCACTCTTGTTAGCTATAGGCAGAGAGGTCCATCTCACTGAAGAAAAGAGGGATCTGTAAAGCTAAGTGGCTTGCCCAAAATTATGCAGCTAGCTAGTAAGGATGCAGAGAAGGGAGTCTAAGTCTCATTTATCACAAGCACGGTGCCTGAACCACTGCAAGGGACAACAACCAGCCTATGCAGCAAGGATCTGACTACTAGAAACTGGAGGCTTCCTGGCCTAGATTCAAACCAAGGTCTCCTCGAGTAACTCAGGAAGTAGAAGAGGTGTCACAACAGGGCCTGGGGATTTAGCTCAGTGGCATAAGTGCCTGCCTTGCAAGCGCACAGTCATGAGTTCAATCCCCGGTACCAAAAAAAAAAAAAAAAAAAAAAAAAAAACAACAGGTGTCACACTGAGTGGCAGTGGCATACCATGGGGTTGGAGTCGGAGATAAGGTCTTTAAGGGTGTCCAGGAAGCCCTGATCCTCCACCAGTTGGGCATTGATGTCATGGAGTTTGGCTACACACACTGCTGCCGTTTTGCGCACATATGGGTCCTCATCCTTCAGGCACTTCCGGAGCGGCTCACACAGGTACTCTGTGATCTTGTCAACTCGGATGCAACCCATAGTCCGCACAGCTAGGGCCCGAATGAGGGGGTTGGGGTCTTCGCAGTCCTAAGGAGAGGCAGTCATGAGCCAGGGGCAAGGGCGAGATGAGCCATCTGTGGGTTTTTTATTCTTCCTTGCCTGAAGCTCTGAGCCCTGAGGGACTGAGCACTACCAAGAGGCTGCTGTGGGATCTCCAATAAGGTAAATGGCACTTAACAGACATTGAGCATTTGTCAGATACATGTGAGGGGCTCTGCCCATCATCTCTTATCCTCACAGCAGACTTACAATAATGGCCCCAATTTACAGGTGAGGAAGCTAAGGATTTCAGGAAGTTCTTTTGAAGTCACAGAGAGAGCTGTGATTCAAACACACATCTGCCTAGACCACAACTTTCTATCTTTCTCCTCCTACAGAAACACTCATTTTCTACTATGTTAGCATTAATGGGGTTGGCGAAGCTAAGGTTCAGGTATTTGCTTTGCTCCTCATCTGGAGGACAGAAATGTAGAAATAAGCAGTCCAAAAGGAGAACACAGCAGTTCTCAGATGCTGCTGAATCCTACTCTGCCAAAGAATGCAAAGAAATCCCTATGCCATTCAGGGGCACAGGAGGCCAACAAGCCTGGTACGACCTCATGAAATTTGTGAGGCTGGGCCTTGACATGAGTTTCAGGAAAGAGAGGGAGGGAGCCATCTGCTGGAAGAAGAGAGCCTTAGCCTCTGAGGCAGAGACCGCCTGTCAGGAAAGGAGCCCGTTTCCACCCAGAGCCACCGAGTGCCATCTCAAAAACACCTAGGGAACATGAAGCAGTGAATATCCCTTGTCCTACCTTCCACCAAACTCCTACATACCTTCACAAAGGTGTTGACGGCCATAATGGCCATGTCAGGCTGACTCTTGGCATAGTTCATCAAGTACAGGTATACCAGCTTCTTCAGCTCCAGGTTGTCTGTCTGCATGCAGTTCACCACATCAGGGAAGAGGGCACTGAAAAGTCAAGATGGTGTCAGCAGCAATGGGCTGAAGGCAGGAAGAGGAAGATTTTTAGGTAACTAAAATCTTAGGAGCAAGGGGACAGGGAGCAGGAAGGAAGCAAAAGATTAACAGGACATCCTGGTAAAAGAAAGGCATCAACTATGCAGTTACTACAAACATCAGATACAAAAAAATGGAAGAGGATTTTTTTTTTTAATTACTGGGGATTGAACGCAGGGCTTTTATACTGAGCTATATCCCTGACTCTTTTTTTTTTTTTTTTTTTTTTTTTTTGAGACAGGGTTTTGCTAAGTTGCCCAACATGGACTTTAATTTGTCACCTTCCTATTTCAGCTTTCCACAATGTAGGATTACAAGCAAGTGCCATTATATCTGGTCTAAAGGGTGATTTTTTTTTTTTTTCATGGAGTTTAAACATGAGCTCTGGAACCTATCAAATCTCTCTGCCTCTTGCTAGTTGTATGATGCTGGGAAACTTCCTTTAGCCTGAGTTTATTTCTCCACTTCCAAGAAATATGCAACCGAAACTCATTTCAGGGATGGGGCTTTATCTCAGTGGTAAGCAGCCATGAGGCCTGGAGTTGATTCCTAGTATCAGGGAAAAAAAAAACCTTTCCTGGTAAGCTACTGTGGTGCAAAAGAGTGGCCAGTGAACCACAAGCGAGTGGCCATCGAGCCAGGAAGAAAACCAGTCAGCGTTTCCCCTGAGCCTGTAGGCCATGTGTGGGCTGAGAATCAAACATCCCATCCTCCCCTTCCCTACCCCATCAGTAACTAGGAACCAGCAGTCTGAGCATCTCTTGGAAGGATGACTGTATCGATATAGCAAATATGAGGGATTTCCTTGTATCTTCTTTTTTTGTCTTTTTTTTTTTATCGGTACCGGGGATTGAACTCACAACTGCCTGCTTGTGAGGCAGGCGCTTATGCCACTGAGCTAAATCCCCAGCCCCTCTATCTTCTTTTTGAAGGCAAATTTTGTTTTCATTGCGTTGCTTTGTTCTGATTAACTATTTTGCTCTATTAAATATTCTGTTTTCATAGGTTTTATAATGTTCTGTTTTCGGTTTGATTTTGCTGCACCTGATTGAATGGACAACTATTGTAAAGATAACGAGATATACGATGGTACCTATTACTGTTGTCCTGGTATCCTGTTGTGAAGTTCTGCACCAATTTCATTGCATTGTCTGGACTGGCTTTATTCTATTGTATTATACTACCATCAAAATAAAAGTCAAAATTAAAAAAAAAAACCAAAAAACCTCACGTCATAGAGCCCTTGTGATAATTAAACAAGATGGCATACTTAAGTTACCTGACTCTTGATATCTGGGAGATGTTCTGGAGAATGACAGGGAAGAAAAGATGAGCCATGCAGTTTTTACCACAAAGGCTAGAACTGGAATCCACTAGGAACCAGCAAAGCATGTATGGAGCATATGCTATATGCCAGGCATGGCACTCAAGACTTGGCATACTTTGCCTCATTTAACATCCCCAAAAAGCCAGAAGAGTATCCTCGTTTCATAGACAATACTAAAGTTCAAAAATGAAAACTTCCCTGAAGAGCCAGATCTGACTTAAAAACCCATGTTCCTACCCCCTATATACTATTACACAGGATAGAACCTTTCCCAACATGGCACCCAATGTTCCTAAAGTCACAATCAGTTAGTCCATCTGTCTGTCTGTCTGAGCTACATTCCCAGTCCTTTTTATGATTTTCAGACAGGATCTTTCTAAATTGCCCAGCCTGGGCCAGAACTTGCAGTCTTCCTGCCTTAGCCTCCTGAATGTTAGGATTACAGGCATGTATCACCACATCTGGCACATAACCTTTCTTGAGACATAAAATATGGCTAGAGATTTTCTGTCTTTGGAACTATCACCTCCACTCTTAACCCCCACACCCTTTACTGGAAACTGAACCTAGAGCTTTCGTATTGAGCTACATCTCTAGCCCTTTTTATTTGTTTTTATTTTGAAATAGGGTCTCTCTCATTAAGTTGCTCCAATCTATGACCCTGCTGCCTCAGCCTCTCAAGTATTGGCATAAGCCACTATGTCTGGTTTCCCTCTCAATTCATGCTTTTACAGGCAAGGATATAGCAATATAGCGATTTAAGAGGTTCAAGAGAGTTTTCTGAGCCCCAACAAGCAGCAGCCCAGCTAGAGCTGAAATGGATGGATCACACCAATGATGACACACCAGGAAGAACCAGGAGCAGAGGAGGAGGGAGAGAGCCTGACTTGCTCTCTGAGGCTTATCACATTGGCAAAGCAAGGTCTTTTGAGGCAAAACAACAAATGTGTTTCCTTTGTGAGGAGACAGCAGAAGGCGAGCAGCTTTGTTCTGGAAGAAATCGGACTTGGGAGGAGGCCCAGTCTTCTAAATGCCTGATATTTTGGTGCTGTGTCATCAATAGGTCTTTGTATAACTGCTTCTTGTGAGTTATTGGCAGGAAAGCCTTGCCAAAGGTAGCAGTAGGATGGGCAACCCGTGGGGAAGTCTGGAGCAGTGATTGTGACGTGGGACCTGCCCCACATTGGCATCTGGTTTCTGACTCATGGAGTGGGCAACAAGAGTGCATAGAAGACAAGGCCTTGGCAAAAAGAGCCTGGATTTGGATTGTAACTGGTAGGCAGTCATTTTCCTCTTTCTTTTTTTTTTTTTTTTTTTGTCTTTTTCCTTTTTATTGGTACCGGGGATTGAACTCACGACTGCCTGCTTGCAAGGCAGGTGCTTATGCCGCTGAGCTAAATCTCCAGCCCCAATTTTCCTCTTTCTTTATCTTGTTTCTTTGACAGTTTAAAAACATCATTGCTTACCATGGGAATTGTAAGAAACCACTGAGAAAAGATAACTGAAAGTGTTCTTCAGATGCTCCAACATTGAAAATATTATGTTGGCATAAAATCTGTCCTGCTTTTACAATCTGATGGGTAGGTAAAACAAGTGCTCATAACATGAGAAGAGTACATATTCAGAGAACCCACACCTGAATTTAAAGCAGTAGCTTCGAGCAACGGGGAGAAGGTAGCTCACAAAGGTAACCAAATATGGTGGTACATACCTGTAATCCTAGAATTTGGGAGGCTGAGGCAGAAGGACTGCAAGTCAGAGGTCAGCCAGGATTACACAGTGAGTTCAGAGCAAGCCTGGCCTACATGTGAGACCCTATCTCAAAAACAAATAAAAACAGCTGGGGATTTAGCTCAATGGTTGTAAGCGCCCCCTGGCAAGGAAAGCTAGAGGTTGTGAGTTCAATCCCTGGTACCAAACCAAAAACAACAACATCAAAAAAAAAACAATAAAAACAAAACCAAGCCCAACCAACCAAATAAGGATAGGAGCATGAGGGGAGACACGGGTCCCCAGGTACCTTAAAGAGAGAGATCTGAACTAGACCCAAGCTATGAATCTCATTTTTTTTCCTTTCCTGAAACAGGGTTCCCCTGTATAGTTTAGGCTGGCCTTGAACTCACTATGTAGCCTAAACTGGCCCTGAACTCTTGGTGATCCTTGCCTCGGCCTACCAAGTGTTGGGATTACAGGCATGCACCACCACACCTGGTAGATGGGTTTTAAATCAAAATAGGCTTAGCAAATAGGCACTCCAGGCAGTACAAAAACATTAGCAAGGTACAGCAATCATTCTACATGTAAGGTACAAACCTAAGGCTACAAACTGGTGGCAGATTACAGAAATTATTATTATTTTTTTTTGGTACCGGAGATTGAACCCATGACCTCCTGCTTGGCAGGCAGGTGCTTAGGCTGCTGAGCTAAATCCTCGACCCAGATTACAGAAATCCTACCTGCAGGTGTTAAAGTTTTTATATGGCTCACACTGAGTGTGTTTGGAAGAAGATGCTTTAAAATGAAAAATCCACATTTCCTATTTGTTTTAAAAATCAGCAAGTGCAAGGTCCTGAGTTCAATTCCCGGTACCAAAAAAATAAAAAATAAAAATTAGGTTCATCTTTCCCAGCCAGCAGTAATCTTCTGGAGCTTCTGACAAGGTTTCCACTACAGCATTCCATTACCTGCTGTCCTTTCAACCCAGTCCACTCCATTATCACCTGATCCATCAGCATTTGAGCTCGTGACTCCTGTGCAAACAAAACCTTCAGTCTGGAAAGAAGGTTCATGAAAGGAGCTGTAAAAAGGGAAATGTAGGCCCCTAAGTACTCTAAAGAAAAGATCTGAACTGGGGCCAAACTATGAATCCTCCTCCATCTGTCAGCATCTGGCTGCCACCGAGCCTACTACTGCCTACCTGACATCTTTGCCTACGGTCATTGATGCAATCACTTTCTTTACTGCCTCCTTCTTCTTTTCCTTCTTGTCACTGTTGAGTTCTGCCTTCAGTTCGAAGATCTCCCCTGAGAAAAAAAGGCAGGCATGAGCCATCTATCCCCACTAGGCCAGAGGGCAATCCCCTGATCCCAATTTTCCAAAGAATTTCAGGGAGACAGAGGGCAGCTTTAGGTCTCCAGCCTCAAGAGGGTGGGTCACATGACAGTGAAGGATAATGGTTAGAAGAGGAATTATTGAGCGAGAAACCTGGAGGCCATGTTGAATTGAAGCGATCGGAACTTGGGAAATCACAATAGTCCTGAGGGAAAGAAAAACACACAGGCAAGGCCTCCTCTCAGTTAAAAACAAAATCAAAGCTCTCCTACGCTACCTCACTTCACCATAGCCCTCAAGGATGAATGCAATGAAAGCTGGGTAATTATGATTTGTGATGAGAAGGCAGGATTTGATGGATCCCATACATAAGGTTTTCCGGTTTTCCTAGAATCTGGAGTTCAAATAGCTTGTTCAAGGTTTCAATTTCCTGAGCTGAAAGTGGTTGCTCAGCTCTGAAAATGGGAATTCTGCTGCTCTGAGCTTGTAATAAATTGTTCTTAAGAACTTGGTGATATGGAAAGAGGAAATGAGGAGGTAGCGACAGTCTAGGCTTTACCACAGAAAGTCAGTGCCTGCTAAGAGGTTAGAAGTGTAGACTGAATTTCCTCAGCTTTTCTCCGAGCTACACTTCCTCCTATGCCTTTTTTCATTTCATGTTCACACCAATTCTGCATTTTCCATTTTACAGATGAGCAAATGGAAGCTATAAGAGCTAGTAGATGACAGAGACAAGATTCAAAACCAGGGGGCTGGGGGTTTTGCTCAGCGGCATAAGCGCTTGCCTTGAAAGCAGGCAGCCGCGAGTTCGATCCCCAGTACCGATAAAAAGGAAAAAGACAAAAAAAAAAAAAAAAAAAAAAAAGATTCAAAACTAGGGCTGGGGATTTAGCTCAACGGTATAAGCGCATGCCTTGTAAGCACACGGTCGTGAGTTCAATCTCCAGTACCGATTAAAAAAAAAAAAAAGATTCAAAACCAGACCTATCCTTTCAAAAACCCTGAGGATATTCCTTTGCCTCTCTACACCTCATTCCTCAGTTGTCCTCTCTTCCTTGACTGGAATGCTGAATTCTCTCATTGAACATGCAGAATGCCTGGCACTCAGTGATCTGTGTTAAGAGTAACTGCTGCTAGGGTGGTGGTGTGTGCCTGTAATTCCAGCATTTGAGAGGCTGAGATAGGAGGATCATCACAAGTTTGAGGATAGCCTGGGTTTCAAAATGAGTTTAAGACCAGCCTGAACTACATTGCGAGACCCTGTGCAAAAACAAAACAAAACAAAAGTCACTGCTATTGTTATTAACTTACCATGTGACAGTCTGGCCTATTTTGTAGAATGGAGTTACCTGGGGTAGAGGTGAAGCAGGGACTACTACATGAAACAAGGTGCTGAAAAAGCACTTAGGTGGATTTATTGTGAGAAAAAAGGAAAACTAGTAGGCTTTTATTATGACTTAACAATGTGGTGCTCAGCAAAGATGAAAGACAGCAAATGTGATTACTTAAGAACAATAAAAGCACAGCCCAGGGAAAGCTGCAAGAAGGATATTGCTCAATGAAGCCAGGAGGAATCTGCAGATCTTGCAGTTGAAATTTACCAAGGAACACGTGCTTTTCTTCTGCAAGACAGTGACAGGCTGTGTTTGCTTGGTCTGGGATTCAAGAGACCACAATGTCCTTGACCCCAGACTTCTGCAGGGCTGCTCATCCTTTACTCACTGTGTGGTCAGATACAGTACAACTGCTATCAATTAACAGGTCCAGGTCCAAGGTTGACAGGGTGAACCCCCCATCTGACTACTTCTAAAATGATCCTCCCTCTATCAGGCTCCTAATTCCATTCAGTTATCAAGCTTACCTCCTCAGCCACATAAAAGGCATTCAATTCTCTCTACACCCAGCCCCCCACCAGCAGGTTCAGGTACCATCACATCTCATGGGAGCTGTCGCCCAATTCTCCCTGTCTCCCTCCAGCTTCTTCCCTTCCATCCTTTATTAGATTGTCTTCCTCATTTGAAAACTATGACTAATATCAGGTGACAGATATGAACACAGGTATCTCTTTCCAGACACCCCTAAAAGAAAACCTACCCAAAAAACCCTACCACTGACACTCTTATAACCCTAGCACTAAGTTCACATCCCTGCCCTGGCTCATCAGGCCTCACTCCACTTTTCTCTACGTGCCTCTCCTACCTTTTTATTGCATCATCCTCTTTGGCAAATTGTACTCAGGATCATTTTTTCTCCTTTCTAGAATGATTCATAGCTAGAGCATGCTCTTTTTCCCCTTCCCTATACCTTTGGGGGAAATCCACGTGGAGTTCTTCTACAGCCCATTGCACCTACTACCCTTTAGTTAAATACACGGTTAAATACACGGTTTTCCCAGCTCCACCTCCAACAGAGCCAGGTCAGAGACCCTGCTTGTCTTTTCCACTGCACATGGCAGGTGCTCAGTAAAAATGACTGTGGTTAAGCACACCGCAGGACACTTGCAGCCCAGTTACTTGGGAGACTGAGGCAGGAAGATCACTTAAGTCTAGGAGTTCAAAGCCAGCCAAGACCATATAGCCAAATACCATCTTTTAAAAGCAAAACAAAGATGAGTACAGTGGAACATGCCTATAAACCCAGAAGCTTAGGGGGCTGGGGCAGAGGACCATAATTTAAGGCCAGCCTGGGCAACCTGGCAAGACCCTGTCTCAAAATAAAAAATAAAAAGTCTGGGAATGTAGCTCAGTATAAAGGCCCTAACTTCAATCTCCAATACCACAAAAACAAAATAAAACAAAACCCAACTGGACCAATAAATCTAATCCCTGCTAAAGGCAGACTTCAGGATCTGGCTCAGCTAATTCAGCAAGAAACTTTCTATCTGGTCAGCAGGCCTGTGTTAATCTCACTTGGAAGGAAGAGAGGAGGGGGGAGCAAAGGCTGGTCAGAAAGATGCTTACAGGGTTAAAGCACACTGGTCAGCCAAAACAACATCCTCTATTTCCTTAAAAGCAGAAAAAACTCAAATCCCTAACAATACGCCTAGTTTAGCAAATTTCAGTGCACCAACTAAATTGACTTAATGTTGAGTCATTAGATTGTCGGGAAATATTTTTGATAATGTCAAATGAAAAACAGGACGAGAACTCTGGCTGTAACCATGAAAACACATGTCCATGAACAAGGACCAGATACAAACACACACACAGAGTGGGACTGTGTTTTCTTGTTCTTGCCCTACGAAAAAATATCTATTTAACTTAACTATGTATCTATTTAAATTAACTATTTTGAGCGATGAGGAATAAAGGGAGGCTTTTTCCCACCCCCCCCACCCCCAATACTTGGATCTAATGCTGTTTGCTTCCTAAGTTCAAAAAGCAGCATTTTTTTTTTTTTTTTTAAAAACAGGGTCTCACTATGCCACTCAGGCTGACATTGAATTCACTAGGTATGTGAGGCTGGCTTTGAACTCACAGTGATCTTTCTACCTCCATCTCCTGTGTGGTGAGATTATAGGCATGTGCCACCATGCAGCAAGGTAAAGAAGGTCTAGGCCATTCCCACTGGTGCCTCTAGGTCTCTAGCCCACCCCTCTTCTCCAGGCCCTGAGGAAGCAGGCAGAAGGGGGAAAGCAGGCAGTCAGGAAAAGAGGAGAGCAGGCCCACGATGAACACACAATACCTTTCTTGGTTGTGGTGAAATATTTCGAGTCAGTCATTTTGGTCCTTTATCCGTGGCAGGATTCTGCAAGACAGAGAAGAAAGGTGGTCTGAGCTGTGTTCCATTTCATTTTCAGTTAGGGTCACAGAGAGAAGAGAAAGAAGAGGAGAAGGAAGAAGATCCAGTACACATAGGCAGGGGAAGATAGCTGCTTATCTCGTTACGGGGCAAATGAACTGTTAGACCATGGCAGATCACATTTTGGAAAGTAATTCTGAGGAATCACATTTTTGAATATGTATCTCTTTTGACTCAGCAATTCTAAGAATCTCTCCCACAGAAATATCTCCATAAGAACACACAGGCTTTACTGCATTGCTATCTACAGAAACGCACCACTGGGAATAACTTAAATGCCAGTTAATAAGGGAATGACCTTATTAAAGGAATGACCAATAAGGGAATGACCTTAAGGGTACTCTGGAAGAGACTAATGGTTAAAAAGCACATAATAGTCAATTATAGCAGACCCCTTACGGCACTCACCTTGCCCAACTGGGTTCTAAATGCTTCCCATGTTTATTCATCCAAGGTTCCTAGAGAGGTACTCCCTATCATTACGTTATATAGGCAAATGAGCTTGAGAAAGGCCAAGTGTAAGGAGCTAGGAAGGTTTATTCTCTCCACAAATTTCTCTAAGCTTCAAAAACAGAGATATTTTGGATGTAACAACCCTGATGAAAAAGAAAAAAAAAAAAAAAAAAAAAACAGAGATATGTACTATTCATCTGTAGACAGGAACAGAATCTACACACTGAAGATTCTACAGTATTCCCTAAATCTACCTTGGCAATTTTCTTGAAGCATCTCTTAGGACATCTGCTAGTGCAAAACACACAGTGCAAAGTACTGGCAATAAGACAAGGAAAGTACAAAATTCCTCATTCATTCAGTAAACACTACTGGCCATGTACTATGTATTCCAGTAGTTCCTCTTGATGATAAAAGAGGCTACTGAGAGCCAAGTTACTCTAGATACATGACAGAAGCTTCCAGAATTGCTCTGAAGTTTATTAATAGGGATCATTTACTGAACCCCTATTAAAGCCAGGGGCCTACAAGCATTATCTTATTTAATCCAACCAGTAGGGAAATAACTCCATTTTAGATGAGAAAACAGGCTCAGAGATGTCATATAACTTGCCCAAAGTCACATGGCTTGTAAGTGGTTAGGCCAGGAGACCCACTCCAGTCTACCAAAGCTTGGTATTTATACTGTATTCATGAAATAATTCTGTTTCCCTCATCTGAAAGGGAAGACAGGTCTCTGACAGATGCTTGGACTGACAGATTCAGTCCAAGAAAACTGAGACTTCTAAGGATAACCTCCAATCTACCTGTAATTTTTCCTGGTATTAAAAAACTATAAGCCTAGGGACTGGGGATTTAGCTCAGTGGCGTAAGCGCCTGACTTGCAAGCAGGCAGTCGTGAGTTTGATCCCCGGTCCCAATAAAAAGGAAAAAGACAAAAAAGAAAAAAAAAAAAAACTACAAGCCTAGAAGAAATATCTGAACAGAGCGATCTCATTTTGCATTTTTGTTTTGATACTGGGAATTGATTTTATGTCTTGGGCTTGCCAGACAGGCGCTTTGCTGCTAAGCTATATCCCCAGTGCCAAACTCATTTTACTTTGTCCCTTCCGTTGCCTCTTTGGAAGGGATGCCAACATGCAGGCCCCCAAAATATTTCCATTCCATTCATTACTATGTGGGGGAAACATGAAAGGTGACAATGTGACAGATGTGAGGCATCATGAATCCTGTCATCATCTCTGGAAACTAAGCAACACAGCTTCTCTGCAGCCCAGATGTATTTTTCCAGGTTTGGCTTGTATTCCCAGTAAGAGGACACTAGAGATGTTCCCCAGCTAAGATTCTGTTTCAGTAATCAATATGGATTGTCTCAGGGTTGCCTTCAATTCTTTGTAGATTCTGTTAGAATAAAGGAACAAAAGCTTCGCTGACAAAACTACATAGAGAAAAAATATATAATTCTATTTTCCTCTTGCTTTGCAAAGTTAGAAGGGGAAGAAGGTCCTTTTCTACAGGAACTGCTGAAAAGAACAGAGAACATATCTGATGCTGCAAGTTCCACAGTGAGGCCTCTACCTTGCTGGTCCTCACAGCCTGAAGCTGGGCTGCAGATGGACCCACAAAGAAAGGAACACATGGGCATGCCACACAGCTCTGTCCACCCTCTCTTTCATGCTTGGCCCAAGCCTTTGCATATAGTGAGTGTTCAATTGATAGTTGTCCAAAGAAATGAAAAGGGGCCATTGGAAATCCCAGGGAAGCTCAGCCTACTCTCGGACAGCTCTGTTATGTAAGGAGCCAGCAGTTTGTTCTTTCTTTTAATAAAGCTAGAGTTTTTATTATAATGGTCAGATGGCTCCTGAGAGGGAGGATGGAAGTTGAAGGAAGAGTGAAGGCATAAGCCTTCTTCTGTTCAATTTTTTCTCTGGTTCCAGGACTTGAACTCATGACCTCCAGTTTGCCAGGCAGGTGCTGTGCTGCTAAGATATATCCCCAGCCTTTCAGTTGTTTCTAAGAGGAACTTAAACATCATTTTTCTCCCCTGCACACAGATAAAACCATTTTCTCAGAGAAACCTCACTAACCTAGAGATTTTTTCTAAAGTTTGGAGCATTCGCAGGTGAAAAAGATAATGGGATTTCTGCTATACCATAAAACGCTGTTGGGTTCCAGAAGCCATATTTATTTGAGATTGTAACTGGCAAAAGTGTCCAAAGCAGGAGGATGTTCTGTTCTTCAAGGTTAAATGGAATGTAAGAAAGCAAAAGGAGCTACAACTTAAAGAGCCACAAAAGGTAACTTTTGCCCCTCCTACAACTACTTATTTATTTATTTATTTATTTATTTCAGTGGTGCTGGAAATTGAACCCAAGGCCTTGTGCATGCAAGGCAAGAACTCTACCACTGAGCCATATCCATAGCCATCCTCCCAACATTAAGTCTAGAAGAAAAAAACAAAACCAATAGAACTATCTAACTTCAGGGCTGCTCAGTTCTTTCTTTCTTCCATGGTAGAGAGGAGTGTTAGGGGCTCTCTTCATCTGCAGGTACAACAAAACAATTGGGGGCCCTGAATTTCCTGGACCTAAGCTTTCAGTGACAGATCCAAGTGTCCTATGTAACTGTGCAAAAGGAGGATGGGGTGGAAAAGCTTCTCTATTTGAAAATTTAAAAAGGACTGAAGTCAGGTGTAGTGCCCACACCTAGAGTCTCAGCTATTCAGGAAGGCTGGCTGAGGCAGAGGGCATCTTGGGCCCAGGGCTTCAAGGACAGCCTGAGTTACATAGTGAGAATCTGCCTTAAAAAATAAAAACGCTAAAGCAGCAGAATCAGCTAGTTAAACCAGCATGGCTGCTGATAGCTCTGCAGTAGAGCTTCTGATGATATGCCTGCTTTTACAGGTGGTAAGCAGAGCTTTTAATGACATTTCTTTTAGAGGTGTTAAGCAATTAACTATTACAATTTGTAATTATCCCCTAGTCTGCTGACATAGGCTGTTGCTTATTTCTGCAGTATCTGTTTCACAGATCTCCCTGCATAGAACCCAGTGAGACTGATGATATAGAAATTGTATCCCTCTGAAGCTGATTACATACAGGAAATTAAAACAGGAACAAGTGAAAATTCCATACACGTACAAAGTGATCCCAAAGCACTATATCAAAACAAAACAAAACAAATCCTTACTTCACTGTGAAAGCTCTCTCACAGACATTGAGGGAGGCTATCTCCTTTCCAAATGCCAGTACAAATTAGATGCCAGTGCAAGAAAGATTTTGTGCACTCTCTGCAGGAATGGAAAAAACCCTACAGTTCAGTCCTAGAGGAACTTGCACTTACAGATGCCATAAGAAAGGTGATTTTGGGGCTGGGGATTTAGCTCAGCGGCATAAGCGCCTGCCTTACAAGCAGGCAGTCATGAGTTTGATCCCCGGTACTGATAAAAAGGAAAAAGACAAAAAAAAAAAAGTGATGTTCTTGGCACTGTCAAGTTGTTGCCATACATTTCTATCCCATGGAAGCCAAAGAGGCAAAGACCTTGATCTCTAACAAATCTGATCAGGTGAATGAGCCACATTTGAAAGCAACTAACCAATTTAGGCAAGAAAATGCTTAAGGATTTGAACCTCATCTTTGGAAGTGACAGAGAACATTTTAAGTAGTAGTTAAAGGGAATTTTTGGTTAGAAATTGCTTTGGGCAGTGTAATGAGTCACTTGTGTTAAGGAGACTGTATTTTGGGTTGAGAGTCCCTTCAATTTTAGCATTTATAAGCCAAAGAATGCCTAAAGGGGACAATACAGTCAAAATTAAAAGAAAGGCACTTACAACAATTGGTTTTGGACTTAAGGAGTCAACGCACCTGTCTCCACCTCAGGTCAACCTTCCCAAACCCACAGAAGATTATGATTTTAATTCCACAGTCCAGAATCAGTTCCTGTTAACATCTATAAAGGAAGTGAATAATAAAGCCTAAAATATAGTAGTTTTCTCTTTAAGTTTTCTAGAATGATAGGCTCTCAGTGAGAATCACTGACACACTGGGCTGGGACAAAGATGTAATGTAATCTGAGTAGAAAATTAGGTTGCAGAAAAGGAGAAAAATTTTTAAAATATTTTTACTTAATATCGTCATAGATTTTAAATCAGACATGGTGGTACATGTCTCTATAACATTATAATGTAAGCAGAAGATGCAAACACTTAAGCTACAGTGACAGAAATCATATCAGTGGCTGCTGATCTGGAAGGGAGCCCATAAGCCCTCTGGGGGTGCTGTAAATGGTCTGTATCCTGATGCTGATATTGGCCCACATTGTGCACCAAAAAGCTGACCTGAAATTTTCTTGGTGTAAGCTCTACAAATATTAAAAACAATTTTTCAAAATAATGATGTAACAATTTACTTTCTTGGAAAAGAAAAAAGGGAGATTGGAATATTGTATAATTTAGTGTGACATAAAACCTAGATAGACATCTTAAAGAATTCAT